AATGCAGTTATTAGCCGAAATAAGTTCTGGAGAGTTAAATTGAAGGTGTAAAAACTGAAATTAGTATGTGTTTGACCTGTTAAATTTTTATTAAGGCTTATGTTGGTAAAGCTATGAATACGTTTACATTACTGAAGAAGAGTGTCCAGCAAGCAAAAGGAAAAAAGCTTTAATAGAAAATTTTGCTACTTGGTATCCTAGTGCCCAATAAGCTGGAAGAAAAGGTCTCCCGATAAATTTGTGATACTGCTGTATAACTTCTTCGGGTTTCGGGCCTGGGAAGAAGTAGATATCTAATATGCCTCCAATAGTTCTGTAAATGATATGAGGTCCTGGTCCGGTGGTAACTTCCTAAGAGTTTTGATGTATACTTCCACATTGAGTTTTCATAATTCAACAGCTCATAAGTGGAAAAATTAAAACCATGTGCTGTCGTACTTGCCGAATACTTACTTGCGGGTTACTGTTAAGTATCAACACACCATGTGCTTTACCATCAGCTTCGAGCACCATGTAAAATGGATGAACTCCGTATAAATTTTTTGTGTCTTCCCAAGCAGAATTTGGTGGCTCGTCTCTGGCTAACATTGACCAAGTTTTGTATTTACTAAAGTCGTGCTAAAACACCAAATGTATGATTTCGGTCACGTTTTTATTACTATTGAAATGTTAGTATACAGAATATAATTCATATTTAGAAAATATCAAATTTGATGCGTTTTTAGAACTAAAAAAAAAAAGTACAAAAAATACTTTTTTTGCCTTCAATGAATGTTTGAAATGGTTCTGAACACGTGCTTTTTATATTTCTTGAGAAGCAAACTGCTATGCATCTGCATATAAAATAGATAGCGCTTTTTAATCTTTCCTTCTAAAAATTTTCAAAATAATTTTGATAATTTTTTTCACTAAATTAGCTGTCGCAGCATTGTCTTGGTGTAATTCTTTCAAGACTGGAAAAAACTTGCTGTCGTTATTACTGGCGAGTATCAACAAAATTTTTTTGCATAACTGGTTTGACTTTACTTTATAATTTTAGATTGCCAAATAGATGTAAAGTAGTAATTTGTTTCTCGAGAATCATAATCTTTTCTTTGTTTACGAACTTTGAGTGTGTGGTGTGAGTTCTCTCCAAAGCCATACATTTTATCAGTTGGAAGTTTCGTCGCAATTTGAATGTATTGGTCAGCAAAGATAAGTCCACCTGCGAAAAGAGGAAGCAAGTTTGTTTTTTAAAAAACAAAAGAAAGAAAGAAAAGAAGTAATCGCAAGAGCAGAACGTTAAGTACGGCAATTGATCATTCATTAACTGTTCTTTTGAGCATCACCAAAAAAGACATTTTCTTGTTTGTATTTGATCTTAACGTTAATGTTAGCAGTAATTGTATTGAATAAGTGTCCGAAACAGAATATAATTTTTTTTCTTTCACTTTAAATTATGCTTGGGCGTATACAAAAAACAGTCATTTCTGAGATCCAGCGTTTTGTTGATAATATTTGTTAGGTCAGTGGTAGAGCTGTGTTAGTGATAAAACTGAAATCAAGGTTTTAGCCAACAAACTGCTGCTGCTATGGCAAGAAAGTTGCTCCTCACGTCGCACCCTAAAAGGGTGCTGCAGCTGTCATAATCTAATAATATTTCAAACAGGCTAAAAATATTGAATTACTTCTACAGTTGTCTCTCTACTTTACTACAACTAACAGAAAAAATTGTATTGAAATATCGTACAACGATGAAGCAGTAGAAAGAAATCATATTTGGCCTACCAATTGAGGTATCAAAAATTGGAGTGTGTGAAGTGTTCCTGACGACTTGAAGAGTAAAAGTTTCATTATAAGCTCCATCATTTGTTCTCAAAAACAGATGCTCTGTAGTGCTTGTTCCTACCATCGGTATCTTAATTTGTGGCTCATACCTGAATATAGCAGATCAAATTGATCAACAAACTGATGATTTTCACTAAGACAGATTAAGGATAAGCTAGCCGACTATGCCTTGGTGTAACTGGATTTCGTGGCGCAATTCGCACATTTAGAACTGAATTATAGTATTTCGCGTCAAGCTGAACCAGCTGAATATCTCCACCGTAAGGACACATGGGATTGTCGACAACTTTAGG